CTTACTTGTGTCTTCATGTTCTGTTTGATCCACATATTGTATATACCTCTTCCATTTAACGATGGAGTACTGCTTCCTGTGTCTAACTTTATGACAACATCAGAGAACACCTAGTTTATGCTGAGCAGGTCAGGTCACCTGGTCACTTGGTGGCCCATGGCTACTAATTCAGTCTTTTTAAAGGCTCAGCAACAAGCTAAAAGTTGTTTCTCAAAAGGAGAGTAGTTATTTACAAAAGATGGCAGGGCTTGGATCCAAAATCCTAAGTCTTTGAGATGTAGTTAACCAACAGGGGCCTGCCAGAGACTCCAGACAGCATCTCACTTTGCCATTGAAGCACATTTTAATCAGTTGGGTCATATGACCCAAATGGCAGAGGTATTATGTTGTCTCCAAAATCCAAAGAAGCTCACCAGGGGTCATCCCTCCTTGTTAGTTGTAGGAGGTGCCAGCGTAACAACTTACCTTTTACTGTAGAAGGAATGTCTTAACATGCCCCACACCATTGGACCCCTAGAAATTTCACTGAAGTTGCGGGGGGGTGGTTCTAAAGTTGACATGGTAATGATTGTACAATTCTCCTTGATATGATTGAACTTTTGAATTGTATGATATATAATTATGTGCCAATAAAACTGTTATTTAAAAAAAAAATTTTTTTTTCACTGAAGTAGAAAGCACCTGAATTTTGAGGGGTTAATTTTCCATCCTGTAGCACACAAATAACTTTCCAAATGGTCATTGATATTTCTTCCTTACTCAGCCCAGTCACCATGTCATGAGTGTCATGGATCATTGTGACATCTAATGTAAGGGAAAGATGGCCATAGTCCCTGGGGACTGATTTAGGACAATAAAGGTATACTGCTGGCTTTGCCTATTGAAGGCAAACTGCTTCTGGTATTCCTTTGAAACCAGAATTGAGAAAACAGCAATTGGTCAGCTTAGCATATCAGGTACCAGGAGATACATTAATTTGCCTTATTGAATCCACGTCTGGAACAGCAGCTGTAGTTGGAGTCACCACTTGGTTAAGTTCAAAGTAATCCACTGTCATTCTCCAAGAGCCATTTGGATTTTTTGTACAGGCCAAATAAGTTTAATGAGAATGTATATGGTGGAAATCACCTCCCCTGCATCCTTTAAGCTCTTGATGATGGCATTAATCTCTGGCATCCCTCCAGGAGTGTGATACTTACTTTTGGTCTCCTAGTATCACAGGTAAGGGGCAGTTCTAAAGCTTTTCATTTGGCTTTTCTACCATAATAGCCCTTTATGCCGCATTTCAGGCATCCATTGTTGGGCTTTTGCCAGTTGCTGAGTATGTCTGCTCTTAGTTTTGCATTCTGAAACTGGAGATCACTACAGGATGGGCTTGGGAACCTGTTGTAAGACAGTTAAGAGCTGAGACTTTATTAATAATTTGACTACCACACATCCCTTCTCTGGTGGGTCATGGTTATATTTTGGGTCTCCTGGAATTAGTATCAGTTCAGATTCAGTGTCTGGTAATCCCGGAAAAGTCTGATAATTTCCTTTTCCCCTGTGATTAAAGCCAAAAGACTAAACTCACTGCCATCAAATCTGTTCCAACTCATAGTGACCCCATAGGACAGGGTAGGACTGCCTGGGGGGTTTTGAAACTGTAATGGGAGTAGAAAGCCTTGTCTTGTTCCCATGGAGCAGCTGGTGGCTTTGAATTTCTGACCTTGAGCTGTGGTGGTGAACTTCACTTCTAGGCCTTAAGGGTGACTAAGGGCAACAATTTTGCAGGTTTTATGTTTCTTTCCAGTTGATAAACTTGGCCATTTTCTTAGGGTTTTAAGTTTTGTTCCACATTTTTCTGCCATTCCACGTAGGACTTCCTAATGTGATCTCTCACAGAGCAAATGCTAATGGTAGCTGGCCACAATCTAATTCTTGAGATCTTCCTTTTTTTTTCACTGAACCTCTACTTCACCAAGCATGATTTCTTTCCCTCCTGATAACATGTTCAAAAAACATGAAGAGTTTCATCATCCAGCCTTCTAAGAAACATTTTAGCTGTACTCGGGTATATTCAGAATTCCTTACCAAGTCCATAATTCGAATGAATCAATTCTTTACTTATTGTCCAGTCGTCGCAAGTGTATGAAGCAACTGAGAATACCGTGGCTTGGGTCAGACACACCTTAGACCTCAACATGACATCTTTGCTCTGTAACAATTTAGTCTTTTGCAGCAGATTTTCCCAATGTGATTCTTTGATTTCTTGACTGCTACTTTCATGAGTGTTGATCATGGATCCAAGTAAAATAAAATCCTTGACAAGTCCAATCGTTTCTGTTTGTTGTAATGTTGCCCATTGGTCCAGTTATGAAGATCTTTGTTTTATGTTGAGGTGTACTACTGAAGGCTGTAGTCTTTGATCTGCATCACTAAGTACTTCAAGTCCTCTTTGCTTTCAGCAGTCAAGGTTGTGTTACTTGCATATCACAGGTGAATGAACCTTTCTCCAATCCTGCAAGGTTCTTTTTGTAGGCTGGCAAGTCTCAATTTCATGTGTCAGGCTGTAGACTTCTTCTGGATCACATGGTTTATTGCAGGGGCTGACAAACTCAAATTAAACAGGTCCAATGGCAGGCTGCTAGCTCACATCCCAAAAACTGGAGGTCAGAGGCTGAAAAGTCAGGTGCAGGATAAAGAGGATATGAATATTGTCTGAGTATCCCTGTATACTGGACACAGACCATACCCTTAGGAAAACTGAAAAACTGATTGGCTACTCACATAAGATAAAAAAATGGATGATTATATTGTATTACAATATAGAAGTTTAGTTTGTCCAATGTCAGCTAAGCCATTGAGAATTCTAGCCAAGTAACACTAATCATTATACTTTTTATGTCCAGCTAATTTTCTTTCATTTAAAAAAATCATTTTACTGGGGGCTCATACAACTCTTATCACAATCCATACATACATCAATTGTGTAAAGCACATCAGTACATTCGTTGCCCTCATCATTCCCAAAACATTTGCTCTCCACCCAAGCCCCTGGCATCAGCTCCTCATTTTCCCACTCCTCCCCACCATGAACCCTTGATAATATATAAATTATTATTTTGTCATATCTTACACTGTCCGATGTCTCCCTTCACTCACTTTTCTGTTGTCCATCCTTATATGTCGATCCTTGTAATTGGTTTCCCCTTTCCACCCCGCCCTCCCTCCACCTACGCTCCTGGTATCGCCGCTCTCACCACTGGTCCTGAAGGGAATCATTTGTCCTGGATTCCCTGTGTTTCTTGTTCCTATCTGTACCAGTGTACATCCTCTGGTCTAGCCAGATTTTATAAGGTAGAACTGGGATCATGATTGTGTGTGTGTTGGCGGGGGGGCGGGGGGGAGCATTTAGGAACTAGAGGAAAGTTGTATGGTTCATCGTTGCTACACTGCACCGTGACTGGCTCGTCTCCTTCCCGTGGCCCTTCTGTAAGGGGATGTCCAGTTGCCTACAGATGGGTCTTGGGTCCCCAATCTGCACTCCCCCTCATTCACAATGATTTGATTTTTTGTTCTTTGATGCCTGATAACTGATCCCTTCAGCACCTCATGATCACACTGGCTGGTGTGCTTCTTCCATGTGGGTTTTGTTGCTTTTGAGCTAGTTGGCCGCTTGTTTACCTTAAAGTCTTTAAGGCACTAGATGCTATATCTTTTAATAGCCGGGCTCCATTAGCTTTCTTCACCACATTTGCTTATGCACACACTTTGTCTTCAGCGACTGTGTCAAGAAGGAGAGCTTCATGGAATGCCAATTTAATAGGAGAAAGTATTCTTGCATCGAGGGAGTACTTGAGTGGTGGCCCAATGTCCACCTGCTACCTTAGTACTAAACCTATAAATATATACCCATAGATCTATCTCCCCGTCCGCATATATAAATGTATTTACATATATACATGCCTTTATTTAGACCTTTATAATGCCCTTTGCCTCCTAGCTCTTTCCTGTATTTCCTTTTACTTTCCTCATTTTCTTTTCTCTTCTTTTCTTTTTGTTAGCTTTAGAAAACCATTGGGGAAATCCTCTTTAAAAAGGAGTGGCAAGGTCCAGTATTTATTTTAGATCATTATGACATTGCTTGAGACAGATCAGCTATGTCTAATAGAAATATAATGTAAACCACAACTAGAAGCCACAGATACAATTTTAAATATTGCATGCAAAAACAAGTAAAAAGAGAAGAATGAAATTCATTTTAATAATATATTCTTAACCTATTATTTCCCAAATACTCCCATTTCAACAAGTATTGAATATATAAACTTTATTAATAAATCATTTATCATTTCTTTCTTAGTAAGCATTCAAAATCAAATATCTATTTTACACTGTAAGGTGCTATCACATCAGTTCCGACTCTGCAACCCTGGTCCTGCACCATCTTCAAGATCATTTTCATTCATATGAAGGTTGCAGTCTTTGATCTTCAATACGTCTTTCAAGTCCTTTTTGCTTTCAGCAAGCAAGGTTGTGTAATTTTTATGTCACAGGTTGTTAATGAGTCATCTTCAGCCCTAATGCTGCATTCTTCTTTGTGGACTATAGTTTCTCTGATTAATTTGCTCAGCATGCCAAAATCAAACCAAACTGACTGCCATTGAGTCAATTCTGACTTCATAGCAACCCTATAGGACAGAGTAGAACTGCCCCTGTAGTTTTATGAGACTGTAACTCTTCGTGGGAGTAGAAAGTCTCATCTTTCTCCAACATACAGATTGAATAATTATGGTTAAAGGAGTCAATCCTGACATACATATTTTCTAATTTTAAACCACATCAAACCCTGTATTCTTTTGAATGAATACCTCATGATCTGTGTATGTAGGTTCCCCAGGAGTACGATGTCTTCTAGAACTCTCATTCTTCACAATATGTGTTAGGCTGGGTTCTCTAGAGAAGCAAAACCAGTAATACTTATGTAGGTGCATAATGATATGTTTCTATCAAGAACCATGGCTCACACCGTGGTAGGAGCAGGTAAGTCCAGTCCAGTTCAATTGTATGGGTCAGATATTAAGCTAGAGGCCCTTTGAACCATGCAGCTACCCAGGGTTGATGGATCAAGAAGATGACGCAGGAAAACCACAGGCTGGTGGACGTCAGCACATCAGGCCTGTGGCTGCCAAGTTGAACAAATCCAAGGTCGGAAGGCTCTGATGACTCCTAGAGTTGGTTGGCAGACCATATGGCAGGCTGTTGATAGCTCCCAGGGATAGTAGGCTTGTTGGATCAAGAACCTATGAGTGATTTGATAGGTGTGAGATCTAGGCCAACAAGAAGAGTGACACTCTCCACATCGTCTACTTAAATACCAGATAGGCCATGCCCCTGAGGAAAAATCATCAGGACTATGATCTGAGTAACTAACTTCTTGGCTCACAGCAAGTCTTATCATGTAGTTGATACATTATGGGGGAGTCTTCAACTGTCAAACCACAGAGAATCCTGGTGCAGTCAAGTTAACACAAAACCTAAATAATTCACAACCTTATCCGTAATTTGTTAAAGTACCTTTTCATAATCAGTGAAACTCAGGCAAACACCTTTCTGGTATTCTCTGCCATCAGCCAAGATCCATTTGACATAAGCATTGGTCAGTGGTTCTCAACCTGTGGGGCACGACCCCTCTGGGGGTGGAACAACCCTTTCACAGCCTCAGACCATTGGAAAACGATTCATAACAGTAGCAAAATTGCAGTTATGAAGTAGCAACAAAAATAATTTTATGGTTGGGGGTCACCACAACATGAGGATCTCTATTAAAAGGTCACAGCATTAGGAAGGTTGAGAACCACGGACATCAGTTATTTGTTATCCCAAGTCGTTTTCTGAATTCAGCTTGAATTCTAGTGCTTCCTTGTTCTAGCGGTTGCAGAAGCAACCATTTTTAAATTATCTTCAGTAAAATTTTATTTTGTGTGTGATATTGATGTTAGTGCTCAATACTTTCCCTGCATTGTATTAGATCACTTCTTTGGAATGAGCACAAGTACAGTCTCTTCTGGTCATGTGGCCAGATGTTGCTGTCTTCCAAATTTCTTGCCGTCGATGAGTGAGTACATCCCACCTGAAGCAGTTCATTGAAACATTTCAGTTGGTTTTCTGTCAGTTCATAGAACTTTGTTTTTTGCCTTCAGTATACCTTGGGTTTCTTCTTCAGCCCCTTAAGTTCTTGATCATGTGCTACCTCGTGAAATTGTTGAATATTGTTGCTTCCTGTATCATTCAATATTTCTTTCACCTTTAGAATCTTCAGTTTTTCAATTTAAGGCTTAAACAATTTCTTCAGTCCTTTCAGATTAAGAAATGCTGAGTGTGTATTTTGTTTTCTAACTCCATGTCTTTGTACATTTCATTAAGTATAATTCTTTTGTCTTCTCAAGCTGCCCTTTAAAATCTGTGTTCAGCTCTTTTACTTCATTTCTTTCTTTTGTTCTAGCTGTTGCAGTCAGCTTTCAAAGGATTTCTGACATCCATTTTCATCTTTTCTTTCTTTCCTGTCTTTTCAGAAATGGTTTTTCTTTCTTTGTGTATGATTTTCTTGATGTTATTCCACAGGTCTTTTGATCTTTGTTCATGTTGCTCAGTACATCAGATTTATTCTTGGAATGTCTCTAAATTCAGGTGGAATGTGCTTATTTTGGCTCTTGTTAAACTTGTCTCTTTGGCAGTTGGCCCCTGGCCATGGTCTGGTTGATGATACTGAGCTTCTTCATTGGCTCTTAACTACATATATATTTACTTTGTTTCCTCTGTATTTCATATGGCAAGGTCCATGTGTATAGTTGCCATTCCGTTGTTGGAAATAAAAAGGTATTTATACTGTATAAGTTGTTCGTCTTTCAAAATTCTATGATGTGATGTGGTATTAATCCTACAATAAGGGCATATTTTCCAACTACAGATACTTCCTTGTAATCAACTCTTAACTTCTACTCAGTAATTATCAATGCATCGTGATTGCATGTTTGATCAATTTCAGACTGAAAATTTTGGTAGAACTCATCAGTTTCTTCATCACTGGCTTTAGTGGCTGGTGTGTAAATTTGAGCAATAATTATAGTACCTGATTTTCCATGTAGGATATTGTCATTGGTTGTGTACTTCAAGATAGATCTTGTTCTTTTGAACAATAAGTGTGATGGTGTTCTGCTTCCACTAGTTATTTCCACCATAGACTATATCATCGATTCACTCACCGATGCCTAGGATATTGATCTTTATATGCTCCATTTTATTTTTGACAACTTTCGATTTTCCTGGATTCATACTTCTGGTATTCCATATTCTGATTACTATTGGATATTTACACCTTTTCTTCTTATTCTTATTTCCTTATCAACAATCAGCAAATGAAGGTCCCAATATCTTTGTTCTCTCCATATCATTACAGTTGACTCCACTTTGAGCGGGCAGTTCTTTCTCAGTCATATTTTGAGTGTCTTCAAACCCTAGGGGTTCATCTTCTAGCTTTATATCAGACAGTGTTCTGCTGTTATGCCAGATCTTCACAGGCCAAGTTTTTCAGAAATAGGTTGCCAGGTTTTTCTTCCTAGTCTGGGTGACGTTACTGGTAAGAGTATTTGAGATTCTGGTGGGACAGCGTTCAACGTTACAGCAAGCCACTACAGTATGGCACACTGGCAGACAGGTGGTAGCAGTTCAGACTAGACACCTTTAATGTGCTCAGTAGCCACACATGGCTTGTGTCCATCTTACTGGATGGTACCATTCTAGATCCTGCACTATAGAATGTGAATGGTGATTATAATGAGATTAGAAATGAGAGGAAGGGTCTGTGTGGTTCTTTAGTACCAGTGAAAACTCATGAGGGCTTGAACAAAAATAGTAGCAGGCGTGATAATCAAGTAAGAGAAGTGTTTCCAAAAAGTGACCTCATACTTGAGGTAGTTTTACTAATTGAATTTTTTTACTCAACATTAGTTTATTTGATTCCGCCATGTTTATCTAACTATGGCTCTGTTATTTATATATTATTACTGCTATATAAGTTCCAGTATAAGATTGTGCCAGTGTATTTTATTAATTTTCTTGTTGCTTAACACTCTTTCCTTAGTTTTTGATATTACAATAATGGTATGGACATTCTTGGATGTGTCTTGTGAAACACACGAGTACACATTTCTCTTAAATTTATATACTAGTAGGTACTAATCCTTTGGGTTTGTGGCATTGTATTGAAAGTATTTTCAGCTGTTGTTGTAGTTGTTCAGTTAAGTCATCTCAAAGCTCCACTAGGGGAGGACCTCCCTCTTAGCACATTCATGTGGTTATGAGCAGTTCTCGATTTCTCACCAAATGAATGTCTCTGTAGGCTGTCTGAGTATCTGCAGAGTCTCCCAAAGTGGCAGGTGTCCCAGAGCAGGTGATTCAACCAAGTAAGAGGAGACAACTAAAGTTTCAGGGTTTTTAATTTATCTAAGAAATGACACCCCATTGATTTTACCAAATTAATTTAGCTAGAAGTAAATTACTACCCTACCATTAATCCATTCCATCTACACTTCAGGGGAAGGAAATTACATTCCACCTCTTGAGGGAAGGAGCATCAAATTTGGACATCACTTTAAAACTACCCTTCTTTCCTCAGTAATCTGCAATTACCAGTTCTGCTAGAGAAAATAATTTTTCTGGATATATTGTTTATTTCTGGCCTCTTTATTCTGTTCCATTGTTCCAATTTGTATATCCCTTTCTTTTTCCTAACTTTACTTGTATGTCTTGAGTATATGCCCAAGACTTATTTCCTACCAGTTTTCCTTAGTATATTCTTATGTCTATTCTGTCTCTATGGGAGTATCCATTTGTCTATCTTCACACTTTTTGGTTACACAGACACACACACACACACACACACAATTGTTGTTAAGTGCCATTAAATGAGTTTCAGCTCAGAAATAGACCCTGTAAACTGTCACATGATCCAGTTCTGCATTAGCCTCCCCATTATTGCTATGCTTGAGCCCAGAGTTGGCAGCTATTGTGACAATCTATGAAGGGGTACCCCCCCAAAATCAGAATTTTTCCCCAATGCTATGTATTTAGTTTTTTAATCATTTTATTAGGGGCTAATACAACTCTTATCACAATCCATATACACATCAATTGTGTAAAGCACATTTTTGCATTCATTGTCCTTATCATTCTCAAAACATTTGCTCCCCACTTAAGCCCCTGGCATCAGCTCCTCATTTTTCCCCTCCCTCCCCACACCCCCTCCCTCATAAGCCCTTGATAATTTATAAATTATTATTTTGTCATATCTTGCCCTGTCCGACATCTCCCTTCACCCACTTTTC